TGTTGAATAGTCAATTCGCGTATAGAGAAGGAGGGAGCTGCACAGATGCTCTGCTACTTATACAGAATAAGATCTGCAAGTTTCTTGATGATCCCAAGTGCAAGGCAGTGCGGATGTTCGCGATGGATTTCAGTAAGGCCTTTGACTCTGTGAGCCATCAACTCCTTGCTGAGAAACTTAAGAGTCTACCACTTAACCCGTATATCATAAACTGGTGGTTAGGTTTTTTGCGAGATAGAAAACAAAGAGTTATTTTCGGGAATCATGTCTGTAATTGGAAAACAGTTAACAAGGGCACAACCCAGGGTAGTGTTTCAGGACCTTATTTGTTCAATATATTTCTTAACGATCTGGAAATTAAATTAGGGAACGAGACACTTGGTTTCAAATACGCTGATGACTGTACGATTATTGCTCCGGTATATTATTATAAAGATCACTCTGTAGACTTAATAAATCAGTTTTTACAGTGGGCAAGCCAAAATAGAATGAATTCAAATTCTACTAAATGTAAAGAGCTTATTATGTATAAAAAAGGTCACACTGCCGAGGCCTACAAAAGTATTTTTGGCATACCTCAGACTAGTACAATAACCATTCTTGGTCTCACGTTTCAGCCGAACTGCAAATTCAGTACTCACCTAAAAGAAAAGTTAGGTAAAGCTAATAAAGGGTTATACGTTATCAGATGCCTCCGCAAGGAAGGATGTAGCCAAGCAGAAGTAGATGTTTTATTTAATTCCATTGTCCTACCTAATATCACTTATGCTCTATCTGTGCATGGGGCCTCTGAGTCAGAGCTAACTATAGCCCAGCAGTTTTTAGATCGTTGTTTTAAACGTAAATACATATCTAAGAAATTAGTGATAGGTGACTTACTTAAAACGCAAGATCACAAAATTTGTCGCAAGGTTTCAACTATCCTGAGCCATCCTCTTAGAGCCTACTTCCCTGAGACCAAGATCACGAGGTATAATTTGAGAAATAAATCCCCTGTCATGCCCGCTATTCGCACAAACCGTTTTAAGAATACATTTTTTAATAGAATTGTTTTTAAGTATAATGTAGCTTTGTGAAAGTGTACTTCCTGTATTAGATGTAACATAAGATATGTAATTTTATCTTTTGAACAATAAAGACACACAGACACACAGACCCTGGGATTGCTCGCGAGTCGAGACTGCTCCGAAAAATTAGCAGAATGTGCGTCAGCGGTTTTACTCTTGAAGCCGAGTAAAAACAAAATGGCGGAGATTTATAGGTGTGCTGTAGGACCACAGTTATATCGGATTTTTACGAAAAATAGGCGACAAGTAAGTGTTGAGTGGACCTTACTTTCATTTAAAAAATGAGCTTTTTTTCTCTTTGATTTTCGTTATTCGTTGGCGTATGTTTACGGAAGCAAAGCTAGTTGTCACCTGTCTGATCGTGGGTTTAAATATTACTTTCGTTTTTAGCGTCGAATATTCATTCTTCTCTCTGGTGAATTAAATTTTTAAGGCTTGAACTATTTTACAGAGCAGACCATACGAGGGGAATAGCTTGGAGCAATGCGGCTCAGGAGTTCTACGAGCGGTAAGGGAAGAAGAAGCCGACTTCATGATTTTGTCTGGTCTAGCTAAGCTTGAGCTCGAAAGAATTCTTTGCCGTGTCGTTATTTTCGAACAAAATTGTGCGTAATGGGAACATACAACCGCTTTCCGGTTAGCTCAATGGATAGAGCGCTGGACTGTTGTGCGGGAGGTCGAGGGTTCGAGCCCCGGCCAGACCAACACTCAAGGTCTTAAAATAATTGAGAAGAATATGCTGCCTTTCTTATAACATCAAAGAAATGGTTAGATATTCTAGTCTTCTCGGATTTATCCAAATAAATGGAGGTTCCGTCTCCTGCAGGGTTAGGGGTAGGAGACCTTAATTTTCCACGTACGAGCTTACTGTGTGATGGATGTCCTCCCCTGCGCTGGGATGGGTGGGTTTACCGGGCCCGCAGTAATTGGCGCAAGCTGTTGCGGTGTCCCTGCCTGTCGGCAAAGCTAATGAAACTAAAACTAAAACTCGTGACATTACGAACAATTTGTTCCAAGCCCACAACAAGACGAACAACATCTTTCCCTATGTCTTTACCGAGCTCAAAATTTACCTTCATTCTTTCTTATTCAATTTACTTCGTTTGTAGTTGTCACTAGCATGGTCAGTTTGTTATTCTACTTCCTTGTTAACTGCACCTGCCATAGGATTTTATCTCTTGAGGAAAGGTCTGTATCACTTCCTGAAGTTTTTATTGCAAGTTAGCAAACACAGTTGTTGTTAAGGTATGAATATTTTATTCTGGGAGGGCTACATATAACTCTGCAAGCAGAAGGGTGAAACAAATCTTATTTCCTGATTGCCTACCCAAGCAACATAACAAGGAGATAAAAAATTGTAGAACCCTTAAGTTCCTTGAAATGATCAACATCCAACTTATCACCATGACAATATCCATGCGTTATCTAACAAAAATGCTTTCAGAATACTCAAAATCATCTGGTAGAAATTGTAAATTCTCAGATTTAAAACCAAATTCTTATAACTAACTTACAAGGAAATGTGTAGCAACTAGAAGGGAGAATTACCAATTGAAATTTGGGAGTTAAAGGGTTAAGAATGATGAATATTTCAATAGATAGTTTGAGTTACATTTTCCAAACTTTTCAAACCTTGATATATATAATTATGATGTTATAACTACAGCTTTCACTGGCTGTCTTTTTCTGATCATAAGGCCTTCAACCACCATCATTTGATACTATATTGATAAGATTTTTATAACCTTATTTGTGATCAAATATAATTCATCCATGATTAGTAACTATACTTCCAAAAAAAGATATATACTTGTCTAGTTGAAACCCCTATCTTGTAGCTCATTAAGGTATCACAGAAAGAAAACAATATTTTTTCAATATCCTGAAAATTTAATATCCAATATTAAGAAATAAAGATATATCATGTGAAAATTTTATTTTGATATCTCTTTTACTTCAGGAGATATAAATTAGCAAAAAGCAATTTGAGAGTAGAAGGAAAGGGGCAAGATTGATGACACTTAAAGTCAAATTCTTCATGTCACCTAATTAATGATTTCAAAACCACTCTGATTTTCAATGCACACTTTACATTTTTGTATAGTTCTGAAATTGCTTATTTGTTATTAAGTATACTTACATTTAATTTAGTTCTTTCCAAAAACTAGATATAATTATTGTTTTCGTAATTCAAGTGTTGTTTTCAAGACATAACCATGTCCAAAAGCAACAAGTCCCTTTTGCCATTCTGGAAAAAAGAAAATTTCATTGCAGTTTGCATTGGAGCAGAAATATTATCCACTGATAGTGATAGAGGTTCCCACTAGACTCAGAAAGATTCAGTGGCCAGAGTCTATTTCTATTGAAGCTGGCCAGTCCATCATCTTCCTCTTGGCATTGCATTTCCAGGATTGATTGCTGAAAAGCTGTGTTGTGTTTCTAGCGTAGCTCTCTTTCCAATGCCTGACCTCTTTCCTCCTCCTTTTTTCTGGTTGAAGCACCATATTGACACAAATAGCTCTATATTGATTTCATGCCTTTAACACTATAATCCACTCGACCTAACTCCTAACAAATTATGTCCACTCTTTGCTTTCTTACACCCATCAGTGCTAACAGGCAACACAGTGTCAAATGGCTTGCTCCAATGTGATTGGATAACATCATTCATAGATGTGAAGTGGAAACATGTTTAAACAAATACTAATTTAAAAAAATTCAAGTCGCTTTTTCTGGTTAAGTGTTTTGGCTTGAGTTCTGATATTTGGATAGTTCATTCTTTGCTTGTATTCGTGAAATTTGGAGATGATGTGGCAAATGTAATGAGCCCCAAAAGGATGTCTTGGATTTTCAATTTTTTCCTTATTTCTCAAGATATAGCCTCTACATTGAAAACTATGTGCAAAAGTGCTACTTTGAAATAAAAACAATAGTTAGAAAATAATGGGGCTATAGAATACAAATTCCAGAAACGTTTTATTAGTTCTTTAGTAAGTCAACTTCATTTAAAGAGGGTGTACACATAACAGCTTACGCTGACAAACCAGTGGCCCTCAAAACTAAAGATTATAGGAAGTAATACATGCAAGTCTAGAATTAAAATTGGAACTAGCCTAACAAAGTAACTATTAAAAACAAATATAAATAAAACAATTTATTTAGAATTATAAAACCTATATAATTACAATATAGCCTCAAAAGAATTAATGTCTCTATAAGAATCAATAAAATAATTTCTCAAATCATTTGTGAAAGAGCAAGTGCTGCCTTTTTTCTTAAACTCAATTGTCAAGCTGTTCCATAACTTGATGCTACTAACTTGAAAAGACCTTCCAGCTTCAGTAATATTACGAAACTTAGGACAGATTAAATTATATTGGCCATGTCTGGTCTCTCTACCGTGTAGTGAGTAATTCGTAGGTAAAGAGCTCTCAATATGCATAAGGGATTCCCCATGCAGTGCCTTATAAACTAGTATGCACTTTCTTATCTTAACTTCATCGTAGAATGGGATCCAATTTAGTTTTTTAAAATTTTCCACTGTTCTTGATCTGATACCTGCGCCTAATATTACTTGCGCTGCACGTTTCTGCAAATGAGACACTCTCTTGAGATCCTCAGTAGAACAATTAGTCCAAACTAAACTACCATACATCATGACTGGCTTAATAAGGGCATTATCAAAAAAGTCGTCCTGTGTCAATTGGTAAATAAGTATGCATCCAGGCCATGTTTCACTGAAAAAGATATAATTATGTTGATTAAAATGCACTGTAAAATAAACTTACCATGTAAAATGTCTCGGGGTGAAAGAGTAAGCTCCCATTCAATGTGTAGTTTTACAGGGATAGTGCACATGACTTTTATATTATCTCTATTTAAATGAAAATGCTAATTTTCCTTCTGTGATACCTTAATGGCACTGGAATCTTATTATACAGCTTGGAAAGTAGTCTATATAGTATTACACTATGTCTTGTAATTTAACTAGTATCCCTTAACCAAACTGAGTGATATGGAACATATGTGGCCGATATATGGGTCTGATACGGGAAAATCTATGGGCCATATATTGATTTCATATGGTTTTGATATGGGACACTACACACCATATCAAACCCATATGTTGCCATATACTGCCTCTCTATTGTCTTTTTATGGGAAAGATATGTATTTTGTAAAAATCCACACTTTTCCCATATATGGAATGATATGGGCTATTGGAATGGTGTGGAATGATTGCCATGTAAAGGAATGATATGGGGAACTTAAAATCAGTCCCATACAAAACCTATATCTATGGGAAAGGTATGTATTTTTGTAAAATTCCATACTGTTCTATATATGGGAATGGTATGGGGTCCCATACCAATCCTACATGCCTTTGGTCAATCAATACCTGCTCCATAAGCTATCGAAAAACTATAGGAATACAATGGGAAACACAACTTGTAACCATAGCAAAATGATAATACAGACTGAGATCTTAAGTGTGCACTTCTGTTTACAGTTGTCTTTTGACAAGGAACTGATGTTTTTTTCATTGATATTAGGTCTGTTGAGTCATGAAGGTTTGATAAGCTTGTCTAGGTTCATTGGCACAGGATTTATGGTTGTATTTGGAGCACTATGCTTAAGAGGTACACCTTCTTGTAACATGCAAGATAAACTTTTGATGCTATTGATTAAAACAAAGTGTTCAATTCCATTAGTTTGTTGCATTAAAGTATTTCCTGAATACCATTGTTGCTAAGACTTTGAGTACAAAACTGTGCAGAAAGTGTTCAAGAACTTTTAATATTAAAGACAATTACATATCTAATAACTTTTCTTGTTGTCACATAACATATGGAACCTGTAATCTTGTTGGCAATTAGAAGTCATTGTATAGTATTATAGTTCTGTAGCAAAGTGCTTTAAAGAACTGTTCTGAAGGATCTTGAGATTAGGTTATGTTTAGTGCATTGTTCCAAGGATCTCATTATCAGTTTAGCTTATTTTTTGGTGTTGTCGTTTGACCACCCATACATTGATTTGTGAAATTTAATTGGAGAGTTGTACTTGGTCCCCAAAGTGAACTATCTGTGCAGCCTTAGTGCTGGACTCTAAGATTAATGGTCTATATGAGACAATAGTGAAGAGTTGGTGTCCTCATTTTTATATGCAAAGTTTATTCAGGGTGAATTTTTTGAGGTTAATCTTGACCTCAAACACATCTCTTAATTCTGTGCACATAAGAATTAAAAATAAATTCAAGTTTTTTTTTATTTGCAGGATATGGACGATTTAAAAATCATGACTATAGAGTATTCTCAGCCCTTTTAGAAGAAACAAGGGTGAACAACAATGAAGAAAACAAGGTGTGTTGATATCCACTGACATAGATGTGATCAATACATACCAAAATAGGGTTTATCCTTGCCCTGTATAGGTCCAAATAGTTGCTTGTGTATGTCCAGCCTTGTAATGACTTACTGTCAAGATGAAGGGAAGTGTGGAAGGGAGGTGGGGGGTGGGGTGGGGAGGCTGGGAGATGTAGAGTGTACAAGTCATGTAAAGTTAGCCTTTTCTGATTTCAATGGCATTAAGTGAAAAGGAGTGTTACTACCCCCTCTTAAGAAACTGGTTTCATACTGTCTTCTCAGTATTTTGTGCGGTTCGCCCTGTGCTTCTCTGGTACAAATTTACAAGTTTACTCCTATGGAGGAGTGGAATTGTAAGGGCCTGTTATTTAAACAAAGTTTAGCCATTGTTTTAACAAAACAGCATTTGAAACTATCTTAAATTTAGTTGAAACTTTTATCTGAACATTAATTTTTGTGAACAGTATTAGGAAGGCTGAAAGCTAGCAGTGGAAGGAAATTTATTTAAAGAATACAACCATAGCTCTTGTAGAGAATATGTAAGGCCCACTGCTTGCATAAAACCATGGTTTGGGTTAGACCTTGTGGCCCCAGCCTTAAAAGTAAAGTATCTTTCCCAAGAATATCAACACAATGACCCAACCAGTGCTTGAACAGAGTCCAGCCATCCAAATCCAACCTGCAGCTCATTATATATATCTCCCAGAATGACTAACAATCACATACATGTTAATTTGTAATTGAATGTTGCAGAAAAGACTTGGGTTGTATGACTTCAGTTTTAAAGGTTGGCCGGTTGATTACAAATGGGATGAATCCAAAGCTGAGTAAGTAATTCAAGCTGAATTTCACCCACTCTTGAAGATGACAATGACATTCATTTTTATTAACACTTAATATCTACATAATTGAACTACATTTATTTGAACATAAATCCTTAATTAAGGAAGTAATAAAAGATATTTAACACATTACATTGATCATGAAATCATGTCATACAGCTTGTAAATGATGACTCATTGCTGCACAATGTGTGGCTATATACTATTATAATCCAACTACACTCAATAGAGTACAAATAACGCCCAAGATGAGTACAAATATCTTGTGGTATTTGTACTCCAAAGAACTTGTTAGACAGGTTTTCTTTATACATCCTGCAAGCAAAAAATTGGATTGAAGTTCCAAAAAAAAATTGAAAATTTAAATCATTTTTCAGATAACAAACAGTTGGAATGGCTGGTGAATATTGATTGAAGTTTATTAGATAAATTGAACCAAGAAAATCAGTTTGATAACAATGAAATTTCATCATTTTTGGAAGAAAATAGAAACGACAACACAACAACATGTCAATTCTGTTCCGCTTTTCACACTTCTGTCACACACTCCCTGTAAATAAATATCTGTGAAATTCGCCTGCACTGAAATCCCAATTTGGCATGTTGGATAATAAATAACTTATTAGACATTTTGGTGTGTGGTAACGCTGAGTATTTTTACATGTTATTTGTATCTTGAATTTTGCCCTAAGGGCTCATACTACACAATGAAACATCTACTGAGATATATTTATTCACAAGATTATAGATATTTTGTAGCAAGAGAATAGTTTTTATGAATAACAATTCTACAAAGCCATTTTTGACAAGCTAAGTACTGAAACTTAATATTTATTTTGCATTTTTTTTTTTTGGGTTACTGGTTGTATCTGTATAAAACCTGTAATTATTGCTATCCTGGCCAATATAATTTTTGATTACTAGTCAAGATGTGCGCAGAGAAGCAAAGAATGCCACCTCTCAAAGCAGGTCTTCAGGATTTTTATCCTTCCTTGGATCATGGCCTTGTGACTTTCTCAGGTAATAATTATTTGTACTTTCTTTGATTTAATTTGTAGATTCCTATCAGCGCCCAGGTAGAATAATAAGTCCACAATTTGATAGTTGAGCTAATGATCCAACTCAAATCAATTTATCCTTCATTAGAAAAATCTTGTGGTAACTCCCTAGTACCCAGTTTTCTCAGAGAATTTTGTATTTGCTGGACTATCTTCTCTCAGTAATACCATTAAAACTAATTAAAAGCTTCTGGAATTCTAGTCTCGGTTTGGGTTTCCATTCTATTTCTTACACTATGCAAAATTTGGTGATTTGGTGTAATAATATTGCTCTGCAAAGGATGATTGAGAAATTTATTGAGATTTCAAATTGCTTTGTTCCTTGGAAATGCTGTGTACATACTGGTTGTTATTGTTTTTGTAGGTATTTTGTGGCACACTCTGTTGGTCGCCCCATGATTTACCCAGGATCCACTGGTCTTCTTCAAAGTGGATATGGTACAGCTTTAAATGCTTGACTAAAGAACAATAATTAAATAACTTACAACACTTTTTCTACTGATGATATGTACCTGCCAACTTATAGGAATGAAGCAAAAGTCTTGTGACCTGAAATTGACAGATGTTGGTCAGGTGCATGAGACATATTTATCACATAAAATCTTTTATTATTTTGTAGAAAATTGTAGGAATGAGATATAAATTATGACTAACAGTAACTATAAAGATGACCATCACTTTGGAAGCTCCCCTTACATGTATGAAAAATTTGGGCCTGTAGAATGCTGATGTTTATGCAAGCAGTAAAGGAGTTTCTTGATTCCTTTTGCTTTTCAGCTGAACCTTTGAAGACAGGAAGGCAGTACTTAATTGAACGTGTAAGTTAGTAGTCTAAAATATGAGCCTTAGATTTTCTTGAATAAATGTCTGCAGAGTCATTTATCTAGATGTATCAATTAGTTGCATCTTCAGTGTAGTGCTATGTGCACTTGTGTTGTTCTGTCAACACTTGTAAAGTAACACTGGTACTTTGGAACCAGTTAGTAGAGGGGAGGAATAGCTAGTCCTTTAGTAAAACTTGGAACCCATCACCAGTTGTATGCCAGTCAGATGCTCTGTCACAGAACAGAAGGAAACTTAGGAATCTTCTTTGTAGGTTATGACATGGATGGCTGCAGGAGTGGGGAAAATGAGGCAGACCCTACGTTAAGATTATTTACTAGAGTGGGGAAAAGATGGTGCTCTCAAACAAGTGAGAGAAACCTCTGATTTTATTTTGAAATCCACATATCTGTGACATAGATCATTACAAAAGTTGCACAAAAGTTGCTCAAAGATCTTATTGCAGGGTTTGTTTAGGAGTGAATTAAAATCCAAACTGTTTTTAGTATTTATACCTCCTGACAAATTTACCAACAGAGTGGCAAGAGAGCAAAACTGGAAGCAGCAGATGGAAATGAGATTGATACGATGTTCATGGACAAGAGGTCAAGGGAGGAACATGGGAGTAACGGGAACACTTTGGTATTAGAATGATTCTTGTTTTAAGCTTGGTCTGTTATAGTTTAGTGCTGAGACTGAGAGGGCAAAAATATGATGCCTGTTTGTAGACTATTATTCATGTTGTTCTAGTGTTCACACGTGAACATGGCTATGTTATGGGTTACTTAATAAGATATCTTGCTCATCAATTGCAATTTAGCTGTTGCACTACAAGTCTCTCTCTTTCTCTCTCTCTCTCTCTCTCTCTCTCTCTCTCTCTCTCTCTCTCTTTCTCTCTCTTTCTCTTTTTTCAAGGATTGAGCTTTTCAAGAAGTCCTTCATTTAGCTTTCTTTTCATCCCTTTATCTTATTATCTCTTCTTCTAGTCAGTTCTCTCTGGTTGTATTTTTTTCCATCTTTAATTAAAGACAAAAAGTTCCCACTATTGCACATTACTTTGTAGAGCCCAACATGGTTTTATGCAGTTATTGCTGCATGCTTTGCCTCCTCTTCTCTAAGAAACACCAAATGATGCCTGTTGTGCTGTTAACCCAAAGTATGCAGTACTTACATCAGGGCCGTAGCCAGACTTCAGAACAAGACGAGGCAAGTTTCGGGTCTGGCATGCCTCCCCCAGAAAATTGTGAAATCTAGAGGCTCAGAAATGCTCTTTCAAGCATTTTCCGTGGCACTTTTTTTTAGAAAAGTCAATCTTGGGCAAGTGTGGAAGTTCACTTTTTTTGTTGCCGAGCGATACTCGTCTTGCCTCATGCTAGCTATGGCCCTGCTTACATTGGTTTTCCATTTCTATGCTCTCTGATTTAACTTCTAATTTGGTTTGTCCTTCCAAACCAATCACTTGACAAGCCTAAACCATTCATGACTTGGTCTCTACATTTCCCTGTATTCTGAATTCTTTGGTCAAAGAGTTTATTATGTGAGGATTGTCTGAACCCCCTTAGTTGGAATAGCTGAATTATGTAGGTCATGGATGATCAAGATTTTGTTGTGTGGCTGTTGACTAAACAATAATTTATAGAGTAGTACTGTTTTAAAATAAGCAAAGCAAGCCATTTTATAAAGAACTTTGTAAATCAGTGTAATAATTAGTGAGATATAAGACTTCACCTTGATGTCTTAAATAATTATTTGATTTCAACAGGTTGTAACATGTGAAGGGAATGCAGGCTTTTATGAAGTTGGCCTGATGATGACCCCTTTTAAAGGTTGGTAATTGATATGAAGCTTATTTTGGTTTATATTTCTTAGCCAGGGTGACTAAAAAGATTTTAAAAAGCTTTAATACATACTTTGTTAACAATTTTGTAGGTGAGATTCATGATTAGAAAATCACATATTAGTTTATCTTAAGAATTATTCCATCCAGCTGACCAGTTATTTTTTCTTGTTTTTGTAGCTGGATATTCAGTTTTAGGATGGAATCATCCTGGCTTTTCTGGGAGCAGTGTAAGTAAAATAGTTGGACTGTCTATGTTTAAATGTTTAAGTGACTACTGTGGTTGATATGTTAACATTTGCTATTAAAAGGAAGATTTAACTTGTTTATGTTGCTTGTCACATTCCTCATTCTTGATGATTCAATAATGAGATTATTGGATTTAATTATTGCCACCATTGTCACAATATTTTGTTCTTCGGTGCCCTTACGTCCTGTAATCAAAGATCTCCAAGAACTTTGTAGCAGATGTAAATATAGGGCATCTACCCAGGAGACATCTGTTAATTGAACCCAATCTGTCACCTCCTTTACCTTCTTCTAAGGTGCCTTTGCCTTAAAAGCATTATCCAAAGCATCTCCATTATCTACAGTGCAATGAGTGACAAAAGTAGCTGTGATAGCTGGTTTGAATAAGGATTTTTTTCCATTTTTTAACATTAAAAGGCACACTTCTATTTCCCTTTGTTTTGTAAACATGCATACAAATAAGATTCAGAAATAATTATGTTGTTCAACATTTTCATTTGGTTGTGGGGGGGTGTGGGTGGGTTAGGGAAGATACTTCGGGGATGACTAGGAGAACTATGGATACAACAAAATATCGGAGTCTCCTATTTTTTGTCCATCATTGTCAATTGCTTAACCACAAATTGCATAATTGGTACAACCACAAATTGTCATAAAAAATTATAGAAAAATGAGGTAAAACACTGTTATGTTTTTATTACTGTTACAGGGTGTGCCAGGCCCAGAATCTGAGAGAAATGCCGTAGATGTTGTAATACAATATGCTGTTGAAGTACTAGGCTTCTCAGTTTCTAATATTGTTGTATATGCATGGTCAATAGGTGAGTGATCACATCATTTTTTGTGCTTGTTATTTAGATCACTTGACAATTAAGTTCTCACAGTTAATCAGTCATCACCTTGAGGCTGATAATATTTCAAATTGCCATTCAAGACAAAACAAAAGTAATGGTTTTGATGATAAGGTTAGCTATCCACATACCAACTGGAATCATCTTCTTTTTCTAGGAATCAAGCTACCTTTGCTTGTGTTTTGTTTGCAATAATTTCTCAAGCAACTTTATTTGATTTTGCATAATTGAGTTAAAAGGGCATGGGTCCCCCCCCTGTCTAGACAGCACCCTCTGGTAGAAATTTATTTCTTTCCTTAACCCTCCCTTGCTGGGAGAAAGTGATGGTAACTCTATAATACCTTAAATTACTGTGAGGATTCATGTACTGAATATACAATTGTTTTGCAAGCTACTAAGAAATTAGAAACATTGTACTGCATCTGGACTTTTTAGTTTGTGTGTTTGTATATTATGACTTAAAATTTTATCTCCATGAATTGTTAGGAGGTTATCCTGCAGTATGGGCGGGAAAAACACACCCAAAGATCGGTGCTTTGGTAGGTTACAGATTAAAATCACAAACACACATTCAATTGTTGCCAAATTGATGTTTATTTACATTATATGCAATCTGCCATATTGATTGCAGAGACTCATCAATGAACTAAATCTGGACCTGTTGTCAATTATTTCTTCATCACATAGGTGTTGGATGCAACTTTTGATGACATTGTTCCACTTGCTCAATGCAAGATGCCTGAAGGCATAAGTATGTCTTGTACTTGTTAAGTAATATTAGCCATGGTGTCCCAGTAGTTGTTGTGCTGGACCTCAGATCAAAAGATGTGGGTCCAAGTCTTAGGAATGAAAATTTTTCACGTCCACTCTTGACTGAGGAGAATGGGTACTAAAAAACTGTCAGGGGAATTAAACAAGTTGATGGGAGGTTTAATGCTACAATGGAGTAACATCCTATGCAGGGAGAGTACAAATACTTAACAATTATTGGCTGATGTTATGGTGAATAATTGTTTTAGTATAATTATACTACACAGATACCAAAAATTTTTCTTTCAATACATGGAAAAATGGTTGGAAATTAAACTCTTGATGTGCAGTTTTGTCTATTTGGCTACTTGGAGGTGAATTGTTCTTGCTATTCGCTTCTGAACGAGCTAATCAGTGCGAGCAAAAAGCACTTTCCATTGTGGTATATGCTAATTGTAGTTATTTCACTCTATAGAAACTGGGATACATGTAAGCTCTGGCAGAATGAGCTTCTTAGCTATTAAGCTGACCATGTGTTTTGAATGTTGTAAGCAGTTAGAAATATTATTGTGCTAGTAGAGGTTGTTGCACCATGTGAAAAAACTCATGTAAGCATTTCAAACAGAATTCTCAATTGCTATAGAATACTGCAGATGCACACAAAGAAGTTCTGGTGAGCTTCCATAAGATAAGAGGCAGACTCAGTCTGTGACTTGATCCAGACTCTTGGGTACTCACCATGTTTGGCAATCTTAGTTTCTGTACAAGTCATGTTACTTGCATTAGTTGCAGGATTTTTTCTTTCAGCGTATCTGTTAAGTTGTTTTATTGACCAGTTGATAACCTTTTGCATGCATCTCTGAAACTTCGCTCTCTGCCTTTATCTGGTAGGTGGTTTCACAACAAGAGTGGTGAAGGAATATTTTCATCTTGATATTGCACGTGTGTTATGCAGGTATTTGATTGATGGACGAGTATCTAACGTCCACTCACAAATTCATTTATAAATAATTATTGTCCCATCTGCTACAACTTGGTATCATTAAATTCTTAGAAGAATGGTGGTTAAAAATTAAGATGCATTAAGCAAGGAGCAAAAAAAAGAGAATCCTTTACTTTTTTCTTGTTTTAAAATGTAATTTTACTTTTGCTGTGGTAAAACGCTGCATGTTAAGTATTGCATAAAATAAAACTCTAAGCTGGAAGGAAAAACTATGTCACTCATGGGGGAAACAGCACGGACTGCTTTCCAACTGTTTGTTGTGAGAATCAATGTATGTACATTTCATTGTGAAACATGTTTGCTACTGATGTTTCAATGCTCCTTATAGAGCCAATCTTATTTTTAACACTCTCAGTCCTGTTTTCAAAATGACTGATTGCATGTTCCTTGAGTACTGCAAAACAAAACCAAAGTATTCCAAAATACCATTCAGAACAAAGGTGCCATCTCGCAAGGAGCACATGAAAAATCAGAGCCAATACATGTAGCCCGCCTCAGTGTCGCGCAGGAAAACATGAGAGACTACTTTGTGGTTGGTTTTAGTCCTTTTGGTTCAGAGGGGGCGTGATTTTACCTGGTCCAGTCACGAGGCCTTGTGACGCAAGATTTTTAACACTCTCTTGAAAATAACTTCTTACCTTGCACCATCTTGTTTAGCTATCCAGGCCCAGTACTGTTCATCAGAAGAATGAGAGATGAGATCATCACAACTGAGTAAGACACTGGAATTTTATTGTTATTCCTTACATTGTTGTAATTAATCATAATTAAGGGATTATGCTTGTTGCCTGCTTGGCAGCCAATACTCAAATTTCATCACTGATGAACTAATTGTTGAGTTGTACTGTTAAGACAGATAAGGATAATGTTTATGTCTTATGAATCTTAGTTATAAATGTACCTAAAAGGGAATCATTTAAGTGTGAGATGCCCGCATGTGGGAGCATTTTCTATGTAGCAATTCAGATGTCACAAGAGTCTGATTTACTTAATGGTGATGCCAGTGGTTGTATGAAAACTTTATAGAACTGAATAGAACCCACAACATATAACCGATTCCAAGAGTGGTAAATGTATTCTGTTACCTCGACTGTGTCACATCCTTTACAGCTGAAGAAAAGCGGTGTTTTGTTTGTTTGTGTGTCTTTTTTTCCGAGAAGAGGTGTTTTAGAAAAGCTGAAAGGGAATACTAATGACACTTTGAAAGTGTTCACAAAGAATGCTTAAAAGCATTCCTTATGAAACCTTTAGTTATAGACAGCTTTTCTCGAAACAGTTGAAAAGTGAATCAATGCCTTTACCTTGAAACTACAGTATCTCGCCCCATTGACTTAAAAATTAACATACAATCTTGCAATTGATCACTGGTGTCCTAAAGATAAACTGATATGGCTGTAAGACAGGATGGCACTAACATTTTCCTTTTCTGATAAGGGAAGGGGATATCAGCTCAAATCGTGGAAATGATCTCCTAAAGAAGTTTCTCAAATTCAGGTAACATTCTCGATTGTCATATGCGCGATGGAAGAGTACGCCATGGCCGTTACTTCATTTTCTTTGGATCAGGGACAAAAAAGAAGGATAACAAACAATTGTTGTTATACTCCTCCGTTAGGTATCCAAAGTTAGTTGATGACAGTGGTGAAGACGCACTAGATGAATATCTCGCTGCTCCAGATCAAGCTACCAAGAGTAAGGTTCATTATTTTATGTTTGACAAATTGAATTGAGTCAAGTGTATCAGTAACATCTCGTTTTTGAAGTCATTTTTAAGCTGCAGGAATTAGAAGTCTCCCTGACTTTACTTTAAACATGTTTCCTCGTCGGATAAAAGCTAATATTTCGTTAACGTTGTTTTATTTCAATACATAAACTAAATTTTCACTGTACTTTATGTTGTAGAAGCTATTTGGAATAGCCTTAGTGCTGACGCTAATTTATGCGAATCGATGTACAAAAGCTATGTCAAAGAAAACGGCAGGGAATTTCCCATGATGATAGGTAAGCGATTTTTTCTTTAAGTGTGTGTAATTTTTCGAAAGGTGATTACATGTTTTTCTTTTAATCAATACCAGGTCAAGATTTGTCGGTGGAACAACGGACTCATCTACTGATGTTTCTGGTGAGTGGATTAAAAATTTGGCATCTTCTTGGTGATCGAAGGTGGCTCCTCACACGCTAGCTTGAACTCTTTAAATCCAAAGATCTAAATTTTTAATTCTCCCCTCCAGCTGCTACACATTTCCTTGTAAATTGGTTACGAGAATTTGGTGTGGGACCAAGAAAAAAACTTCTACCTGATAAGTTAGAGTATTCTCATGGCCTGTTTGCTGGATAATGCATGGATATCATTAGGAGAAGTTACGTATTAATCACTGCTAGAAGTTGAAAGGTTTAGGGACCAGTAATCCCACCTCTCCATCGTTTCATAATCAATCCTTTTGCTTAACCAGTCACTACGGCAGCAGAAAGGAGCGTTATTGAAATCTGGGTCCCCAAGAAAACCGACGCAGCCAATCAGAACGTAGGAAATTTCACAAGGAACCAATTTGATGCCAAAGTGAAAACAGAAAAAATTGCTTCAAGGGTAGAAAATACGAATGGCTTATTCGAGATGTCTTTCATTGTCCCAGATGATTGGTTGATAAGAGAGGGGGGCATGATTTTTCTGCACCAATCACAGAGTATAGTTAAGCCAACCCCAGTCCAATCTCTAGTCTGTGGACAAACACCCTCCCCCCCCCACCCTACCCCAAAACTGAAAATTTACCTTGGTAATTTTCAAGGTCATGTTTTTTTTCAATTTATTCTATTTTATTTTTGATTGTTACTTTGGATTGATCATTAACCCAAAGTTCCATTTTTGTCTTCAAAATTAAAAAATATTCTGTGCAGAAGGGTCATAACCACCTTAATTTTTGCGTGATATTTTGCTTTCAGTTGCTTTAGGAAAACGATTACGTAAGGCTAGTGTTGCAAACTGCTTTTACTCATCTTAACTGTATTCTAGATATAGTGTTGTGAGAGTGGAGCCAGTCCTTCATCAACACTGAAAACTATGCGTGTTTCTGCCACAAAACGTACTTTGTTAATCTCGTTGGATTATTATTCTTATCTCCCAGGTCTTACGGTATCTAATGGACTTTGATGCCACACACTGTATAAATTTGCCAGCATCAGAGTTTCGCCTACCTTGGAATGAATAGCGATGTTCCTTGCCGTTCTGCGGGGAGTCTTGCAAACATTGAAACAATATTTTCCTTTAGTTTAGACTGCTTGTTTAGGATTTATGAGGTAGAGATAGGTAATTCTTTAACCCGGGTAGCGATCTGTTTGTAGTAATCGGGCTCAAGAGGTTCTTATGAAAAGTAAAAGGAAAATTTTAGCTCACTTGATCTTGTTCCACCATTTGATTTACATGCTGCGACGGTGTAAGAATGCACAATTTATGATATGATGTATCAGCAAGATTGTTGGTGTTCAGCTACAAGAGAGAAACTCTTGAGTGCTCAAGCCATCCACCGGAGCCTTGGACCAGTAAATAAATTCTCCTAACGCTATCAACACACTGTCAGACAGTCAGGTTAAAGAAAGGAAACAAAAGTATTTACTTTAGGAGACGGGTATAATTTTATTTAACATCAAATCCCAGAGCTGAAATCGTAAGAAATGTATGGCAGGAAGTAGGTAGGACTGGTTTTGAGATCTTTAGAGCCAAAGGGTCAAGCCATTGTGCATTTTTGTGTATCGTCAGTTTTAGTCAGCGTTGTCCATAGCCATCTTCATTGTTTTTCTTTGTAGCGTTTACTTACGTGTTTGTTTTGTTTTTCGAAGGGGGTCGGGAAGGATCGCTACGTCCATTTCGAGGTTCTGGTCAATATGTAAGCATGTTATGAACCAAGGCCCAAAGTTTCGCGCTTCTTTTTGCAGCGTTAAGTGGTTTGTGTGGAGCTGTATACGGAGTATAACACCCTTTTGACTGAAATAGGAATAGTAAGACCGAAAAGAATTGGAACAGTGGTTTCATCCTTGAGAGCCAAATATCAAAGGAGTAAATGAAAAAAGTTGCTTGACATAGTTGTTTTGCTGGTATTAGCTGTTCCTTTAAAGTTCATTTCAAACGTTGCGCAAATTCAAGGATTTTTCGATGAATTCGCGATGGGATTTTTGTTCCGCCACCAGAATAATATTCCATCGCGTAACTCTCTCGAATATGATGTGTAATAGGTTGGCTGACAGTATGTCAGTTAAAAAACAACGGGTCTTGAGTTAAATTTATCATATATATATATAGCAAAAGTGTGTATTCTAGTTAACTTCGAGATTTATGAGAATATCATACTATCCCAAGGGTAAGGTGCTATTACTTATTGCTACTTCGAGACAACTATTTAACGTAAGCTTACGAGTGTATTTATTACATCGCTCACAGCGCCCGTGGGCAAGATTTAATTCTTATTAACCGAGCGGGAGGTCTGTATGGGAGAATCTTGACGGAGGTCAAGATTCTTCCAAACAGACCGACCTAGCTCGGTTAATAAGATGTTTATTACATGGCTGTGTCTTATATGCCAATTTTTTTATATTCTTTGTACCTTTTTTTCTAGACCGGTCTAGATGCCGGTCTAGATGGGAAAATTTAGACTGCTTTCAATATTGATTTCAACCAATCAAATTCGTGAATTCGGTAGTTCCCAGTCCTTTTCAGACACAGCCATATAATAAGAAGCGAATCCTGTGTTCTGATTGCCTACCCGAGCGGGCAAGATGGGCCCATCTTGTTCGCTCGGGATTTTCCGCTTAGATATCGCGCATAAAAAAATTGAATTAGAACTACGTTCGTAATTCTTGAACAGTGTCGGCGATGGAAACGCAAAAAGCGACAGAAGGTAGTCAAAACAGAAAACAGAAACGACTCTCATGAGTTTGTTTTGCTACAAACACAGTTGGGTTTCTTTCCCGGCTCTCGAGGTAAACAAGTCATTCTTAATTCTTAATAAAGCAAAATCTTTTTGCAATATAGTAAATCCTTTACTAACCAAGCTTGTTCGGTGAAGATGGCTGGATATTAGCCTCGTTCTTTTTTCGCATTTTTATGGACCTCGACTTCATCTCGGTTCATAAAAATGCAAAAAAAGAACTCGGCCAATATCCAGCCATCTTGACCGAACAAGCTTGGTTAATAACGCATATGTAGTGTTGTTTAGTTAGAGATATGCAAAGCGGTATAAAAGTTTTCTTTGGTGTAATTGGTTGTAAAAGATGACTTAATTGACCATGGTTATGATGACAAATGAAACTATAATTGATTGATTCATGATTGATAGCTACGATCATTTTGAATCCAGCTTGTTTGACCGGCTGTTGCGCTTGTTTATTGTATTAATGCTTCTATGTTGGTCTGAGTTCAACTCCGTCGTTCGGGTCTCCCCCGTAAAGGAGTTTGAGGCACTAGGAGCAAGCTTGGACGGAGATTTTTTTTCGTTTTAGTACCGACACGCCGGCGCCGTTAGTCGTCAACAAAGCATGATGGCGATATAATTGTGTTAGGTGCTCAAGCACGATACAGTCCATTTTGTGTTGTGTATTCCCACAATTCAGTTTAATTAATTTTTGGTCTCCTACTGTGATCAGATTTATTCCCTTAGCGTTCCTCGGCCCACCTAGAACCCAGTCGGATGTCCACTCGTATTTTTGGATTTCCCTTTCAGGGTTGAGGTCACTCGTGCTTTACTTAGATAAATAAGGTTGATACATACAAACATTCGTCAAATAACAGACGTCTTACATGTGAAAGGTAAGTATCAAATTTTTAGCTAAAGATATATTAAAATAGTTTTACAACATAGCAATCACTTTTGGAACCTCAAGAAAACCGTCCAAAAAAGAAGGGAGCAGATTGGGGCCAAAGCCTCCACTATCCCTCCCGCTACGTGGTACTACGAAGAGGTTAATTTTAGGTTGTTTTGAAATTACAAATCAGATAGACGAGACAGGAGCGTCCTCTGCTGAGACTTCAAAGATCCATTAAATATCAGTGTACCTGAGTCAACTGTTATAGTTGCAGGCAACATTAAAGATCGGGTGTGAATCCATGATTGTCATTCTGAACGCAATAGGCCGACTATAAGGTAAGCTTAGAGCTGCTTTAAGTGTCTCATGATTTTGCCTGCGTCAAAGCAACGCCCTATTGACCACACAGTCTCTTTAGTAGAAGCTTCATGCTGTATAGAGCTGTTAATTACAGTAAGGTCCACCCAAGCTGTCTTACATTTTTCGAACTTAAAGTGAAAGAAGAAACTGCATTGAAATATGTTTAGAACTTTGAACTGCATCTTTTCCTTTTGTCTTTGAGCGTGATTTATGTGCATGGATACGTTCGCTTTTGTAATCGGGTGATTAAACTCCAATGATTTAGTAAGGTCCTCTTTCGAGCTCTTTGGTTATTTTGTCGTTTCCTCTCGCTTATTGCAATAAACAAAAGAAACATTATTTACTTTGTTCACAAGCCGTTTCCTCTCGTAATCCCTGGAACGAGAGAAGGTATGCTTCTGCTTTCCATTTCGTTGCCTCCGGGAGCGAAGAACTGTACTCGGCTCACACGCTGGTAATTTAACTTATCACCACAGGCGGACCAAGCTCTCTTTGAGAACCAAACAAGGAACACAATATGCATATCGATTTATAAGGATTTGTATGGATTTTCTACAAGATAGCCATAGAGATAGTTAAAAGTGAAAATATTAAATAAAAATGGTTTACCTTATTCCATACGTGTGTTGCTTGCTCCTGGTGTCGTTATTTTACCGATTTCACTTGATTTCAGTTTTTTTAAATCCTGGTTTTCTCTTCTTAAAGAGACTTTGAATGTAAAAATCTCAGTAAAATTCTCGAGAAGGCCGTGCATTCCCAGCTGTACCAGCACTTGGTAATTAACAACCTTCTCACAAGGAAACAGTTTGGATTCAGGAAGGGGCTCTCTACTGAATCTGCTTTGACATCATTTGCTGATGAAGTCTTATTGAACATGGAACAAGGTAAACTGTGTGGGGCCGTGTTTTTGGATTTAACCAAGGCTTTCGACACTGTGGACCATCGGATTTTGTTACGCAAGCTCTCCAAAATTGGTTTATGTGAGAACTCGCTTCAGTGGTTCCGCTCTTACATTACTGACAGGAAACAGCGTACATGTTGTGGGAATGAGTTGTCTGATGAATTGCCAGTTACCCATGGGGTCCCTCAGGGAAGTATTCTGGGTCCTCTGCTATTTGTCATCTACATTAACGATTTGCCAAGCGTTCTAGATGCCTGTCAAGCATCACTTTATGCAGATGACACGGTGATCTACTGCTATGGGTCTTCCTCTCAGGAGCTGACTGAAAAGCTCAACCAAGACCTCCTGGCTGTGGCGAAATGGCTGAATGAACATAAGTTAACACTGAATCTGGACAAAACCAAATGCATGCTCATAGGCAGTAACAAGAAGTTACAGAGGAAAATAGCTCTAACTGTTTCAATTTTTGATCATTGTATAAACAATGTTACTTGTTTTAAATATCTTGGAATCTTAATATCGTCTGATTTTTCGTGGACAAATCATGTCGAATACATGGCAGGGAAAGTTAATCAAAGGCTTGGCCTACTTAGACGCATTAAGCATTTGTTACCGTTTAAGGCGCGCATCCTTTTTTATAAAAGCCTTGTTATGCCCTTATTCGAGTATGCTGATTTAGTTTGGGGAGACAAACATAATGTAACTTTAATGTCTAGTTTGCAAGTGCTTCAAAATAAGGCGGCTAAAATAATATTAGATCGACCACTGTATTCCTCTGCGTCTGATGCGTTAACTACACTGAAGTGGTTAACACTAGAAAAAAGGCGCTTCCAGCGCCGATGCGTACATGTATATAAATGTCTTAATAGTCTCACGCATCACGAACTAACATTAGTCACTCAGCAAGAACAGCATAGTTACAACACAAGAAATAAAGCAAACCTCAAAATTCCATCCGTTAAAAGAAACTGGGGCAAACAAAGAACTGGCTATCATGCTGTAAGTGATTTTAACTCGCTGGACAAAACTATACGAGCCGCTGATAATGTAAATATTTTGAAGCGTAAGATTTTTAATTCATTGATTTAAGTTTTGTATTACACATAAGATACATTAGTTTTTAGTAGCATCTTTTAGCATTTTTATTCATTGTAAATTTTTAATTTTTAATTTTCGAGGTCCTTTTTGTAAACCACTTTTTAGTGAAAAAGTTTCCTCATTAAAGATTGTCATCATCATCATCAAGTTTTTTAGTTTTATNTTCTCATTCCATCCTTCATCTGTCTGTACCATGGAACTGTGAAATAGTGTATATAATAATTATATTACAATATTTGTGTAAAACTGGTCTCAGTAATAATCCAAAAGACATTGAAGAACTAACACTGAAAGCATGTGATTCTTTGGTTGACTTATCTGGACATAATGGAATTTGGACAATTTCTAGTTTCTTTTCACAGTTTCATAGAATCCACTTTTTTAATTTTAAATTAACCCTTTAACTTAATTATGATGGACCAAAACAGAATTTTTTCTTCACAATACAAACTGGCAAGTGATGTCATAGGAATTGTATGGCAGAATGAATGAATGAATGAATGAATGAAAAACTTTATTTAAGTGTCTATGTTTTTAGCTATAAGCTAATGGGGGACACTAAAAAATTTAAAAGTCAAATACATTTACATATGTAGATGATAGTTATTTACAGTAGATAATTAAAAAGATTATAAAGTTATTTAGTTAGTTTCAAATTTCAGCGAGAGTTGAAAGGTCGACTTTTCTTATGTTCTTCTTGAACGAATTTAGAGTTTCTATCGTTCTTAGGTGTCTTGGTAACTTCGACCAGATGAGAGGTCCCATATATTTAATAGAATTGAAAAAATTAAAAACTACGTTTGTAGCTCAGTTTGACTCCCAGCAGTGGTCGCTATTCAAAGCTTTTCTCGATATTTCAACTGATACTCTGAGTTAAATAGGTAAAGAACGATTTCACGAAAAAATTAAAAAAGGTACAAAATGCTGAATGTAACACTAAGTTCTCAGCGAAGAAATATGCTAGAGAAAACGGGAAACTTGAGATTCAAAGATTTAAATACTCCTGTCATGGATGCTGTTTTATTTTTTATCGCGCGAAAGTTATTCTGTAAAGCTTAGTGGTTTACTCAGTTCTGGACTCGGTTTAATTACACCTGCTAAGACTGTTTATTCACCTGTAAAAAGAGCGAATAATAGATCAGTTTACAAAAACCTCTTAAAATTGACGAAATAACACAGACTTCAATTTTTGTTCGAAAATGGCAGAGTTTTGTCCGAGATGTGAAGTTTGATAAACATTTTTTGGTACACACCTGTCGTAGTTTTACGAAGTTTAGTTGGTTTATTGCTTTGTACACCGTTGTAATCGACTATTCTTGCATCTTTATTTTGAGGAAAGTCTCCTCTATATAACTTTGAGCTCGATATCGTGACTGCGGTTTCTTTCCTCTGCTTTTTACCTGGAGTTGTATTTCCATCTTGTCGTGGTTGTTCTGTCGGTGTCTATTTTTTTTTTCTTTTCTTTGCGTTATTCTGAAAGCAACTTTGTGACAACATTTCGTAGCTTTTCAGTTCCTCCAAATAGATATCAAGGTTAGTTACGTTGAAAATGATGGTCACAATTTGTTTATCACCTGCTTCTTTCATTTAGTTGAAGAGTCTAATGAAAAGATGCAAAATAGTTGAAGAGTCCGAGTCGAACTTTCCTGCGCAACAAACAGTTTGCTTTTTCCTAGCTTCGTAAATGACAAATTGAGATAAATGGAAAAAAGTCACTTTTCAAGATTACCTGAGACTGCAATATTCAGGACATTCAGCCTGGAGGCATACGTGAAAGACATGTGTTTGTAAAATGTTTGGATGTGAACGTGCACACAATAAAAATTATAATCACATGGATTGTTTCGATCGCGGGAGGCCGTTTTCCTTTGGAAAGGAAATTTACGGCCATGAGGCAAAATTTTCAACCGTCTTACAAGTGATAATCGTGTTCCAGCATCCGTACCACTCGTCAACCACTCCGTTTAGGAAAGTTCTAGCTAGGTGCTCGACAGGAAATTTGATCCAGTAATTCATTGATAATTTACCGAGGCAACGTAACGCATATCTTCTCTTATTTGAGTAGCATCAAAATTGAAACCCATCAACTAGTTCGGATCAGGAGAAGATGAATACCAAAGCGGTTAAGTGTGGGTGTGCATATATCTGTCCATAACCCAGTGGCTACTTTAATTTAAATGAACAAATATGAACTCTATGTACGTGTTTGCGGGGCTTCACCAAAACAATATCAGTAGTCCGCCAGTCTGTTAGTTGTTGTCATTACGTCATTATTCGTGCGGAAAGGAAGCTGAAACCTTCATTTACGTTGGCGCATTTTAATTGTGACTGATTCAACCTTGCAAAAGGTTGAAATGGCGTCTTTGTATAAATTTGACCGAGAGACGCCGTTAATCGTCTCTGTTTTTGTCATTTTCTCCGGAATCGTGCTCGCCTTTTGTGGAGGCTGCACAGGTAGGGACAAACCATTGGAAGCAATGCCATATTAGCAATTTTGTTTATTAGGTAATGGTTTCTTTCGCTTATTTGACTCGTCGTCGAGAAATCCTTTGCGAATTTCCATTTCCTTTTTAATTGGCTCGTCTTTTTTCTTCTTTCGTTCGTATACTCTGGGCTAAAAATTGAGTTATTATTCATGCCCAAGCTGTATTTTAAACCTACAAATAATACTTCCTGCAAATGTTCATCGTTGATTGTTCGAGAGTAAACAAAAAATAACGCCCGCTACAGACGTTTCGTCAGTGGTTTAAAACCTTGGTTGTAAGTTTTCTTTAATTTTGTTCTTTTTTTTGTTCTTTATTTCGTTCTGTTTTTTTGCAGCTGACGAGTGTCGCATCATCCTGTTTGAGGAACCGATAGCAAATAGTACAATTAAGGGGCACGTGATAAGGAGTAGTGAGGTCCTTAGTGAGGGGAGCTGTCGCACGATGTGTTATATGGAGCCTAACTGTGTCTCCATAAATGTGAAACCTTTAGACGGAGGAAAGTACAACTGTGAGTTGAATAACGCTACGATTGATAAAAGTGAACTAACCTTTGAAGAAGTGGATGCTTACTACCTGGCGATTGAGGTAAATGATTCACTTAAATTTAAAGTTTTGTTTGAAATCAGAAGAATTCAAAGTCGTACACTTGCTCAGCGCTTTACAATTTTAGACCAGCATTTTCATTTGTTGCTTCTTTTTTCCCCCTTGATCAGAATCTGGCCTCACACCTACACGTCCTGTTCTATGTTGTACATTAATACGAGTTTTTGTTCTTTTGGGAAGAAACCCAACCTTGCACATGTATAAGCCTGGCCATAAGCATTATTGAAATTCAACGTAGTTTATCATGCTTCCTTGTAAATATTCATTCTAGTGTGGTGAATTCAAATAAATAAGAAAGATGTTCTCTCCTTTTTTAATCAGTACGTTGTTTTCTTTTTCTTTCGAACAGAATCCCTGTAGTAGCAGCCCTTGTGTCAATAATGGAACTTGCCAAGTCGGTTTCACCAGCAAAGGGTTTCGATGCGTTTGTGTTCCTGGATATGCTGGAGTAAAGTGCAGTGGTACTGTAAAATGATGTGATTTTTAAAATCTAGTTGTCCCTGATCCGTGATCAACATATATATATTCAAAACAAAAGAAAATTTTGTTGATGGCCAAAAAGTCATCTACCTATAAGTCCTCATAGCTAAAATCAAGAAAAATGTTGTTTTAACCTCCATGGGCACTTGAAATCAAACTGAAAATGCTAAGCATGTCAAATAGAAGCTGCTGGCATTTGTCCTGACGCGTGACTATATATATGCACTATTAACGAAGCTCGAGGTCAAGATGGCTGGGTGTTTGCCGGGTTCTTTTTCTGCATTTTTATGGACCGGGACGAAGTCTAAAAGATTTCGCTTTATTAAGAATTAAGAATGACTTGTTTACTTCGAGAGCCGGGAAAGAAAACCAACTGTGTTTGTAGCACATCAAACTCACGCGAGTCGTCTCTATTCTAGTGTTTTGACTATCGTTTGCCGCTTTTTACGTTTCCATCGCCGAAATTGTCCAAGAATTACGAACCTAACTGTATTTTATTGTAGCGCGGGATCAATGCAGGCAATCCCGAGCAGGCAAGATGGGCCCACCTTGCCCATTCGGGCAGCCAATCAGAACAAAGGGTTCACTTCATCTTGCCCACGAGCGCTGCGTGCGATATAATAAAGTGACTTAATCGTTATTTAACTGTGAGAAAAAAGATAATACTTCACTAAAAATGCAAGATAGTTATTGAATCGATCACTCCGCTGTCCATGAAAAAGCATTTTCGGTTGTAACCATACAATGGGCTCTTAAAGAGAATCTTTTTCAGGCTCAAGTTTGTTCCTAAGAAATTGTTTCCTGCTAGTTAATAATACGTAATCCCCCATCCCAGGGATATGTTTCCCTGGCATTTTCTGATACGCACCAACACTCCAAAGGGAGAGAGGAACTGTGAGAGTTCAGATGGCTGGGTAGATATCTTTCTTGATCTTTTTAACTAAAAAAACTTCCTCAGACAGCTTGGACAGCTTCTTACGCTAAGGTTTTATTTCTTTTCACAGTATTATCAAGATCTTGCAGTGACTTAAAGAAGCTCGATCCTAAAGCGAAAAGCGGAATCTGTCTGATAGATCCTGATGGCGAAGGAGGATTGCTGCCTTTCCTCGTCACCTGTGATATGACTGACAAAGACGGAGTTGGTGTGACTGTCATAAGCCACGACAGCGAAAACAGGACATTGGTGGACAATTACGAAGCCAAGGGGTCCTACTCGCGAAATATATCCTACAAAGGAGCGAGCATATCTCAATTGGTGAGTCTCGTCAACGTTTCCCAACAGTGTGAACAGTTCATTAAGTACGAGTGCCTTGGTTCAACATTGACAGATGGCCTTTGGGTTTCACGTGATTCTCTGGAAATGACCCACTGGAGTGGTGCAGCACCTGAAAGTAACAAGTGCGCATGCGGAATGAACAACACATGTGCAAAACCCGAAGATCCAAACAAACTCCCGGTCTACTGTAACTGTGATGTGAATGACAATGTATGGCGTGAAGATAGTGGTGTCCTTACTAACAAGACACATCTGCCAGTTAAGCAGCTGAGGTTCGGAGACACAGAATTTGACGTCCAAAATCAATTTGACGAGAAGGGTTACCATACCTTGGGGAAGTTTAAGTGTTATGGAATCGCTTAATTGTAAGGAATAAAGAAATCTTTAACCAATTCAAATCATTCCGTCTAACAGAAAACTATTGGAAGACAGTCAGTGATTCTTGTGAATGGATGACTTGATAATAAGAAAATTAACTCGCGGTACCTTTTTCTTTCAGTTATTTTATTTGTTGATTTACCGGCAACATTATAATCATGCTGGCCCAGTTCAGCTGCAAGCTGATTTGAATGAGGGCCTGTAAAAAGGATATAAATGTGACAAAATATGTATTGAAACAATATCACTGAACTGTTAAGATGATGTAAACTTCGTGAGCTAGTGTAAAACCTCTGCATTGTAATCGCGATGAATTCTGTTAAGACTGGCTACGCTGTGATTTTAACTATTTACACTTGTAATTTGTTAGTAACTATGGCAACAATGATCGATTTATCTACTTGTTTACAAGTAAACCATATCTCGATATTTCTATTAAGTCTTCAAATATGATAAAGGTTCAGATTTTTTTTGTGTGCCGGTCATAACCGAAACTCAACTTAGGTTATTGTTGTTTGAATAAATATCCCCCAGTATGTAAATATGTAGTACAGTGCTACTGGTGTTTCGAATAATTCTAGCGGCTGAATTGATTTCAGTTTTTAGATCTAGAATTCAAGACTCGAATATTACTCTTGTCACCGTAGATTTAAAGTTATAAATAATTGAGGAGAAGGACATGTAATTGGCAACGTTTTGAAGGGTTCTAAAACACGCTAAAATATTGAGTTGTTAGGCAGCTTGTTAGCTTTTTATAACACTGACTGCAGTATTGATATGTAATGGCTGACATTTGTAAAAGCTGAGTAAAACAAGTTAACTAGTCATAATGACATTTTGGTTGCTATTGATAAACGTAAATGTGTTATGCTTCTACTGTTAGACCTTTCTGCTGCCTTTGACACAGTAGATCATGATATTCTCCTTACTAGATTGTAATCTAAAAACTCTATCTCTGGCACAGCTCAGGAATGGCTTCGCTCCTACCTTACTAATCGCTCGCAATTCGCCTAATCAACGGATGTAGATTGGTTTCGCGATAAACCTTAAAATGAATTGTTTCCACTAACTCCTTTATCTCCTTTATCCTTTTCTCTTCTTTTTCTTCTTTTTCCTCTTTTTCGTCTTTTTCGTCTAAACGCAACAACCTACTGCACCTTCTTATATAGTTCCTTACAATCTTTCTAGAAGATTCTACAGATTTACAACACGACTATTTTTAGTAACATTACATCATAGAATTTTCCAGAATTTACGGTAAACAACTCGAGTTTCTATAAATAGACGTCACGTACTCATGTCGAAACCACTAGAACCTTCCTAAAGGACTAATCAAGAATGTTCTGGAAATCATAGGACAATCGATAAACGTGCCAAATAACATGTCTTCTGTCCATAGATAGCAGTCTCGCGAACTTAAGTGCGGTGTACCGCAGGGCTCTGTCCAAGGACCGATTCTGTACGTACTCTATACAACACCACTGGCTGACATTCTACGATTCCACGAAATGCAATTTCATTTTTACGCCGATGTATATTTCTTTCTCTAGAAACAACGATGTGGAACTAACCCACTGTATTACTAAGATTGAGGATTGCCTGTCCGACATTGATAAGTGGATGTCCATCAACAAACTAAAACTGAACAAAGACAAAACCGAGGTTCTCTATTTATTGTCAAAGTATAATCCGCAGCAGTCCCAACCCCCTCTTCGCTTTGGAACCGACATTGTCAAGTCCTCTTCACATGCTAGAAACATTGGCGCTATCTTCGAACCACTATGTCGACGCTTCCCTATGTAAACAGTGACTGTAAATCTGCCTTTTATCATCTTCGTACTTTTTCGCGTATTAGGAAATACCATCAACGCAAACTACTGAGATTCTTATCCATGCTTTCATAACTTTCAAGCTAGATCACTGCAATTTTCTACTATAGAATGCCCCTAAATACATCATCAGAAAGCTTCAATCAGTGCAGAATGCAGCTGCCAGACTGACTACACGATCTAGGAAGTGTGATTACTTCACTCCCATCTTCCTCGATCTTCACTGGCTACCTGTTTCCGAACGAATTAAATTCAAGATTCTACTACTTACTTTCAAAACACTGCATCAGCAAACTCCAATCTATATTCAAGACCTTATCACTCGCTACTCACCGTCTAGAACGCTTCGTTCATCCTCCACGCTCAATCTGAATCCTGTTAGTTTTAACCTTAATTAAGACCTATGGTTCTAGAGCATTCTCCGTTTCAGCTCCTGAACTCTGGAACACTTACCCAACAACATACGCTCATACGAGAACTTAAATCTTTTTAAGCATAAACTTAAAACCTACCTTTTTGAGAACTTTTACTTTAGCCATTAGGAAATAGACTTGATATGCTTTTACTTCAATTTAAATTTAATTTAATTAACTTTAATTTTAAATTTCCTCTCTCTTTGTTAAGCGCCCAGATCTATCATTGGATAGGCGCTATACAAATATTATTATTATCATTATATTATTATTATTATTAAATGAGAAACTTGAAATTGTGAGTCAAATTTTTCAAGTATTCACCCTCCCTGATGTAGGTCACTAACAGGTGCCCCTTGCTCTCTATCTGAGTCAAGACAATGCCACCGTGACAATACAGGGTTTATATGGCAAAGTGGAGATCGCTTAGTTTCTTCGATTTTATGGGGAATTTCTTTCAAAATGTAAAGACACAGACTTCCCCTAGATACGCATGCACTGAGTATAGGGCCTGTGCCATCGTGGTTTCTTTATTGAAGTCATTCCTATTCTGCGTAGACTTGTCAATGAAGCACTGAGAGCATTGCATTGTTATGGTAATGACTGTTCATCATGATAATGGCTTTTGCAAATAATGGCAGATATTAGATCTGAGCCCGCGTAAAAGCAGTTTTTTTAAAGATGCACGGAATCGAGGTATTTAGGCCAAAGGCTTTTTAAATTCTCAAAGGTATCACTGTATATTTCAAAACAACTCGCATTTTACGCTATTTTTTACTTTTATCGACAATCTGAAGCATTCAAAAGGCAAAGATAGCAATGGTTAGACATTGTTTTGCATTCGGATGCAACAACCGGAGCGATAAACCACATTGCAAGCATCTTTCGTGGCATTTACTGCCACTGAACAACAAGAAACATCTGGCGACTTGGCTAGTCAAGATCAAACAGAAAAACACGCCCGTGAGTAAAAATTCCTTTGTATGCAGTGACAATTTTGAAAAGGAATGCTTTTCCAAGTCATATGCTGGCCGGATAGTTAGTCTTAAGTCAGAATCAGTTCCGACAATATTCAGTTTCTCCGAACAGAAAACCAAAAGGAAGGCTCCGAAGGAAAGACGCTCGATTGATGATGACTTTCCGGCCAGCATATGACTTGGAAAAGCATTCCATTTTTTCTTTTTATTGGAACCAATAAGAGAAAAGGAGAAATAAAATCAGCTTTAAAAAAATCTGTATAGTTCTAATAAACTCGTTTGATTCACGATCGAAGAAAACAGCGCCTATTGGAACCTACATGCATTATTTCTGAAAGTACTGTTAATTTTCCTTACCCACGCGCAGCAGATGATCGTGTAACAAGATAAACTGGTTTCATGAACTGAGTTGAAAATGTTAATTGGCCACCGTGGAGAGTTTCTAAGCCGACGTTTCGAGCTTTAGCCCTTTGTCAGAGAGAATGAAGTAACTCCCACACCGAAGCCACAACACAGTTTCGTTAGAAACTCTGTTATGTTGTCTGATGGTACGGGTGAGGGCAGTCCTTTCAGGACTGTTTTCTGAACTACGGTTACTAACGAATCGAAAAAGTGGGGGTAAGTCATCATCTTTAATTCTAGCGCATAAGGACTGACTGTTCTTTAGTTTTGCCGAGATGCTATCAGCGGAGAGACTATGGAAGTTAGGTCAATTTTGACATTTCACGATTAAAAATCCTTCAGCTCTGTTACTACGCGAGATTTGATAAGTTTGAAAAATCTCGATCCACCGTGCGCTTTGCGCGCGTTATCCATAACCTTCGTAGACCACGAAACCCCGACGTTTTGCGATTGTCTTCTTCACACGCTTGTTAATAGAGAGTTTTAGATCCGAGTTTACCGCGAACCTCTCACCGCGGTTTACGGTTACCCGTTTGCGGTTCGACGTTCAAACATAATTCGATTTAGATTGGCGGTGGATTAAAGAAGTGGACTCTGGGTAATAAAATCCAAAGTGGTGGCAGCTGCGGGGTTAGTGTCTATTTGTTTGTCAGAACTTCAAACATTTTTCGACAAGTGTGATTTTATTATTAGTTTTATGCACTGGAAAACAAATTTTGGCATCAAGAATTGTGTCCATGAGGAGAAACTTTGATGATATCGTCGACGTAATACTGTGGCAAGACAGCAGTGATGACTCAAGTTGCAGCGAAGAGGACTTGCATGAACTTTTGCTGGAATTCATGTTTCCACAACAAGACGATGCAAACTACCCCCGTATTAATCTTCAGGATATACCTGATGTGCAGTATGAGGTCATGTTTAGGTACAGATTCTTTGCTTTTGGTCTTTTCTTGAAGGGCTAAGTTTTTATACTTGTAAACCTGACCTCAGCAAGTTCTGTAAGCTAAAAATGCTAACCCTCAATCTCAGATTTTCAAAAGGAGATATGGAAAAACTCCGGGATGCTTTACAACTGCCAGCCAATTACATTTGCAGTCAAGAGACTAATGCTACCGTAATGGAGACACTGATGATTCTTTTAAGAAGATTGACGTACCCTAATCGATGGAGTGGTCTGGTTCCTGTTTTCGGCCGAACGGTATCAGAACTGAGCTTGATATTTAACAAGGTAAAAATGTTGCTTTGTTCATTCATCATCTCTGTAGAAGTTGCCTGTATTCCCCTTTCACTTTACCATTTTTGAATTTGACTAGGAGGTGTACAGAGTATTACAGTACATTTTGTGTTTGTTCTCTTGATTTTTGCTTTTAGAGGAAAAAAATCAACTCATATTCATTAGAATAACTCTTTACTACTACTACTACTACTACTACTACTACTACTAATAATAATAATAATATTTATTAACTTATATTGCACAGATATCAATATGATAATTTTCATCTGCACATCCCAATTCAAATTACAAATTACAAATCTAATTATCAAATCCTTAGTCACAAATTAAGTCAAATCAAATAATGTTGGTTTTTAGGGAGAGGGGAAAACCAGATTACCTGGAGAAAAATCTCTCAGAGCAGAGTAGAGAGAGAACCATAAAACTCTGCCCAATTATGATGCCAAGTCCAGGAATTGAACCTGGGCCACATTGGTGGAAGGCGAGTGCTCTAACCACTGCACCAACCCTGCTCCCCACTCTCTTTGCAGTTAGAGTAATTAAAATGATATTCCCACATGTGGTTCCAAATAACCCACCCCATTAAAAACGATAAAACAAACAAAAGAAAAAAAAAAACACAAGAAAACAATACACCTTCACACTGCTGTACTTTCCATGGATTTCAGACTATGGATGATATCTATGACAGATTTCATCACCTCTTAGACTGTCTTGACTTGGTATGGCTTGAGCCTGAGGCTTTTGCCGATGCTGTTCACGAAAAAGGAGCTCCTCTTACTGGGTGTTGGGGTTTTATCGACTGGACTCCCCGACCAATCGCTCGTCCTGTCCGCAATGAACGACTTATGTTCAATGGTCACAAGAGAACACACTGCGTAAAATTCCAGGTATATAAAAGGCGTTGCACAAAAGAAAGCAAACTTCCTTGACTAGACAAAAATATCAAAACAAAGGAGTCTCCTGTCAAGGCACTCCAAGCAGAAATACAGGGGAAGGGATTGGGTTCCCTTTTGCATTTTGCAGTGAGTGTTGCAGAGAACTAAACTGCAGCAAGAACCAAAATAATGGTAAAGATCAGAATGCATCCACTCTATATTAGCATTTAACAGGATACCAAAGCCATTGTTTTATCTTTCACTAAAGACAAAAATGTTCATGTTATTATCACTGGGACAATGTTCTGTCATAGCGTTCCCCTTCTCCCAAGTGACTTTTTGTATTTAAAAGTATTTAGATATATATTTTATTGAGTTTGTGCATTCAAATGAAAACTGCAACAGAAGTACATTTATGAACAGTATTTTTAATGCTTGTACGTTGAGAAGAGAAAGTTTGAACAGGAACTCAAGGCTTTTAATGCAGATTACTGATGTTGCCAGTTATAATTTCCAATTACAACAGTAACCCGTCTCAGTTGAAACCTTCAGTAATTATCAAGTAGCAGAGCTGTTCGCATTTCTTCATACTCTCCTGTTGTTAAACTTTATATTTTTTTATATTACAGTTATATGTTCATTAAACTTTCTGATGTAAAAGGAAAAAAATCACAATTCCTAACTTGAATCATGTTTTGTTCTTACTTATTGTATCAAATACATACAGTTACGGTTCCTTTTGTAATGCAGGCTGTTTTTTACAATAAACTTGTTCATCCCTGATGTCTATGTTCCAGTTTCAGTAATCCAGATTTTATCCACCTAACCTTGCAGCTAAAATTTTTTTTAATCAATTCTTGTTCAAATTGTTGAATTGAACTTGCAACCAAACCTACACAAAACAAGACCCCACGGAAGTACCGCTAAAACTCAGCACTAGACACATGTACGCATTGCGTACCTTTTTTTTTTTTGTTTGTGACGCAAATTTCGTCATGCTACACGCGCAGATGCACGGCAACATGCGGTAAGGGTACGAGCACGTGTAGACCTAACTACAATTTTGAACAAATCATTTTAACTTTGAGCGCCTTTCTGGCATTTCAATAAATCAATTTTATCAGCCCTATTTTCTTCATTTTAGTTCTTGGAAGAGCTAAAACAGTTTTGAATAGAACAGAAAGGTACTCCCATCGCAAGTTTGAACTTAGTCGAGGGGGGAAAACAACTGAGTTGTTCCACCGTCATGAATTAATTGTCTACATGCATGTTAAGCCAGAATATAACGACAAAGACATAACCCTGAATCATAAAACCGATCGTTAATACTTAATACGGTATTATGCATGATAACTTACGTCGAAACGATGTTTCGTATTTCTAGACAGATTACAACTCTACGTTGCCTGTCATTCCAGCTGTAAACTAGTTTCAAACTGAGAGATTAAAGTTATCAAACTTTTAAAAGAATCAGAGGCAAGCTAATGGAGGCAACAATCCAGTAAAAAAAAGATATAGTAAGGACTTTTGGAAATTTGTAGGGAAAATCACTCAAAAAAGAGACTTCAAAGATGCACAAGGTAACATTATTGTTGATGATCAAGCTAAGGCCGAGGCTATGAATGATTTCTTTGTTGCTGCAGGCACAGATTTGACCTTCATTGTCATAGCCAAGATGCTGCGGCACTATTTCTATTGCCCAACCTAATGATAATGCCTTTTTTATGCGTACTTTACCAAGATTTGGCGCCAGTCTCCCCAGGCTGGTTTACTAACAACCCTCTACCCTTCCTCCCTCCCTCTCGCTTTGTCACTCGTCACAAATCTTTCACCCGTTCAGTATGGCAACCGAATGTTCACCGCGCTGGATCCCGCGCTTGAAACACAAACTACCGTCTGCAAGCAGGCTGGGTCTAGACTTGATGCGTAGTCCTTACTTTTCGAGCGCCTACCTTATGGAGCTCACGCGGCGCATCGACGTCACTTCACTTCATGAAGCTAGTCTCGCGGCGCGGTAATTAACATCAAGTTTATTTTTCGCTGACTTATTTTGACTCGCGCGACGCGTCGCAAGAAGGCGGGAATGCTTTTAGTCTAGATTTACCCGTATAATAAGTTACATCAGTCGATATTTTGACTGAGCAGTGACATATTTCACACTGCTGCGTATGTAAACAATTTTCGTAAGAAAATGATTAACAAACAAAATGAAGGTTGGCTTTTTCGAACCCAGTCATCATGAAGAGAATATTCTCTTGTCATTACTCAATGATTCCAAGATGTCACAGTACCCGTCAAAGCTATCGGCTGTTATGTAATTGTAATTGCAAATATGTTCCGCTCAGAACTTTGAATGTAAAAAAAAAGTGCTCTCAGCTTTGTTAATAGCGCGTTGAACTCTGTAGGCTCTTCGTTGTTCTTTCAAAGCTGGGCAACCAAGTGAAAAAAAAAATAACATGAAAATCTTGCCAGGAAAAGGTTGTAAGGATACCTCAAGAAATTGTAGATATTACCTCGCCTACAATTTGAGCAGGTGCGAGTGATCATGAGAAGGCTCAGCGATTAGATTTGTTGCGAAAAAGCCTGAGCAAAGACTGCAGTTTTAAAGTTCACCAGATAACTGAATTAGCGAAATTTAAAAAATAAATGGAATGCAAAATGGGAACTGTAGGGACCCTTATTTTACAGTTTTAGCTTTTGAAATTCAACTCCGATGGTTGCTTCATGTGTATCTACTTTTT